TTTTGAGCATTCACACACACAGAACCAGCATGATTTTCTAGCCACTGGGTCTGGGACTCAAACTGCAGTTAGCCAAGTAGGAGTCCAGCATACAAACCACCATGCTATTTCTGGCTCCTCTGAAGAAATTCTATAAAAATGTAATTATAATTTAATTTTATAGCACACACAATTATTAATTATAGTTCAAAAATAATTTTAATATATATTTTATTTGAGGAAACATGGCCAGTTATATTCTTTTCTTTGAAAAGTCATGTTATTTTAATTTTAACTCAACCTAATTCACTCTATCTATAACATGATTGAACCCTGGGTGTTCTAAAAATGAAAGCTATTACAGTAATCCAGCTAACTAAATCGTCTAATGAACTTAACAAAGCTTGATTTCATGACTAGGCTTAACTCATCAAGGAGGAATTAAGAGTTTTACTAGCTGATTAGTTGTTGTTAAAGTAATGCATGCCTGTAGGAGAATAACAGTCTACAATGGTGAAGAAATATATCTGTGAAATGATTATAAGTAATATGGATATAGCTGCTTAAATATTATAACTCTAAAATTCCCTAACTCTGAAATTTTGAAAGACATATAATTAAAATATACATTGTTGTCTAGGAAGAAACATGTATTTCTCATATCAAGTAAGCATTCTTTTAGTTATTGAGCTGTTTAAAATTTGTTTATATTATTTTTACATACAAGAATCATCAGCAAACTGATAGTTGTATTTAGAATCATCAGTGAGAAAAATGATAGTTGTGTTTAGAGAGAATTGCATAAAATCGTTTTTTATAAAAATAAAGATGAAATACAATGATAATAAATCATGTAGTCATATCAGAGTGGGTGACCAATAAAATGGATGAGAGACAAAAAAGATAAATATTTTCTATTTGATTTACTACACATGTCTTTTGGTAACTTGATCCATCAAAACAAAACAAAACAAAACAACCAACAAAGTAAAAACCTCTTGGAAAAATAACATTAGTCTTGTTATTAGGTATGTGTGTAAATATTTTAATAAAATCATTGTGTAATTTATGTAATGATATTTAGCTCAAGTTTTCAAAAGGTATCATGACTCTAAGAAAATTGATAGTAAAGTGGATAACATGAATTAAGGGTTACTGGCAGCCTAAGACACTGTTTATCTCTTTTGAGGTAGACAGAATTCAAATTGCCGTCATTAGCTGAGCAATATGCTGTGGAAAATGAGTCGGGTACTTATCGAGAGGTTCTTTCATTTGCATTTTTGCTAAATAACCAAGCTGCTCTGTTTTTAGCTGCTCAAGAGCTGCGAACAGGAGAGAAGAAACATAATTCAGGTGAGTAAGCCAGGGGCCATTCCAGGAATAGAAAAGAAGAAGTTTATCAATGAAGATGTTAGAATTGTGTCATACATCTCGGTGATACAAAAGGATAGTCTCACACCTAGTCAGGGACTAGGATGTACAAATGCATTAATTCTCCCCACATTCACCAGTACCAAAAGCGAAGCTAGAGGCTGTTCTTTTGATAAATGATCAATACTTCAGCCTGACACTACCCTAGCTGCCCTGCTGTTGCTGGTTAAAAGTTTGAATTTCAATTAAGCAGTAAATCTTCATGGTATTAAATCTCCAACAGTCAATGAATGTCACCCTAATCCCCTGCAATTGTGAAATACAGTTATTTTGCAGAGTCCTTTCCTTTAGGCTTATTCATAAGGCAAAATATTCCTATTTTGCAGATAAAGACATATTTTTCTCTGAATGAAAAACAGAATACTATATAACTGTGTTTTTTAAAAAGTTTTTAGTTATATGACTATGTGCAAAGAATGTTATACTTCCACAGAGAAAGTCAAAAGGCAATAAAACATATTAATGAAACTCTCACTCCAAAGTGCATCGATTTGATTGCATACCTTTAGTTCCCATGTTATATTTCAGAATGTTCTTACACATATACTTTCCTTGGAAAATTTCTTAAATCATAAAAAACATGAACACTCATAACATAGATCACATTCAAATCAGTGTAAAAATTTTCATTTCTGGGGCCGGCAGGTGGCATGGTGGTTAAGGATGTTGGACTCCCACATGGCCAACCGTGGTTCAAGTCCTGGACCTGGCAGCTTGCTTTCTCATTTTCTCTCTCTCTCTTTCACTCTCTAACTCTCACTCTGTCCCTCTTTGATCAAATTAAAATAAATAAATAAACAAACAAATAAAAAATAAAGTTATAAAAATTTTTAAAAATAATTCTCATTTCTTGTATTACCAAATTCCCCTCTAGATTTTTTTCTTAAAGATATTGGTTCATTTTCAGAAAGTATTGGTTGATGCATAAAAAAACAGCTAAACAGAGCACTTACAGATGTGTACCTTATTTATTGCAGACTTCAACCTCTTAGTCCAACATATAGATGATGTAATATGTATCTCCTCATATAGGATTTTAATAATTTTAAACTTATGAAGCCACAAAGCCAAATTAATGCAACTTCAAAGACTTAAAATAGCTTTAACAATTTCATCCATGATTACAACAAAATAAAATGTTCTCTGTTCAGAATTTTAGAAGAAAGTCTTTTCCCTAAAAAAAAGTGCAGTTTTGCCTGTGTTAGCAAAATTCTATCATTATGAATTTTATTCTTCTCTATAATTTAGAATGCAAACATTTCTTTCAATAATTAAAATACTTCTAAAACTTGACTTAAAAAAGTCCAAATTACATCATTAGAATGCTTTGTGATTTTCATGAAAATAAACACACTTTATTTAAAATGATTTATGGGGACCAGCAGGTGGCATGGTGGTTAAAGCGCTGGACACTCCCACATGGCTGACCATGGTTCAATGCCTGGACCTGGTGGCTTGCTTTCTCACATTCCCTCTCTCTCTTTCTCTCTCACTCTGTGTCTCTCTGGTCAATCTAAAATAAATGAATGAATAAATAAATATTAAAAAAAGAGTTACTGTTATTAAAAAAAGAATTATAAAAAAGATTTATGTATTAATTGATATGGCCCAATTATTAATACCATGATGCAGATATTTTATTATCAAATGCTCAAATATAGAGTAGGTTAAACATGCCTGACCTGAAGGCACTCCTTATAATTCTCACATCCCTACAATATAAAATAAGAATGTAGGGGGCCAGCAGGTGGCAGGGTGGTGAAGGGCGCTGGACTCCCACATATACGGCTATTGTTCGCATCCTGGACCTGACAGCTTGCTTTCTCACTTTCTACCTCTGGTCAAATAAAGGGCGCTGGACTCCCACATATACGGCTATTGTTCGCATCCTGGACCTGACAGCTTGCTTTCTCACTTTCTCACTCTGGTCAAATAAAAAATAATAATGATAAACTTCAATAAAATAATTATTTTTTTTAAAAGAATGTAGATGTTAGAGGCTTTTTGAATGAATGATTTGTGAGACAGCATTTAAAACTATGCTGTTTGGACTATATAGCTTTTGGCTTTTTCCTTCACTATACTAAAATCTTTGAACATGTCTGTCCCTAGTCTCTGAACCATTTTTTTTTTTTTTAAGATTTTTGCCATAAGGTGTGTGCACTTGGCAGAGAGAGACAGTGAGAGAGAGGCCATGCTGCATTCTCTTCTCCATTCTTTTCTCCTCTCAGGATTTTGAGCATTCACACACACAGAACCAGCATGATTTTCTAGCCACTGGGTCTGGGACTCAAACTGCAGTTAGCCAAGTAGGAGTCCAGCATACAAACCACCATGCTATTTCTGGCTCCTCTGAAGAAATTCTATAAAAATGTAATTATAATTTAATTTTATAGCACACACAATTATTAATTATAGTTCAAAAATAATTTTAATATATATTTTATTTGAGGAAACATGGCCAGTTATATTCTTTTCTTTGAAAAGTCATGTTATTTTAATTTTAACTCAACCTAATTCACTCTATCTATAACATGATTGAACCCTGGGTGTTCTAAAAATGAAAGCTATTACAGTAATCCAGCTAACTAAATCGTCTAATGAACTTAACAAAGCTTGATTTCATGACTAGGCTTAACTCATCAAGGAGGAATTAAGAGTTTTACTAGCTGATTAGTTGTTGTTAAAGTAATGCATGCCTGTAGGAGAATAACAGTCTACAATGGTGAAGAAATATATCTGTGAAATGATTATAAGTAATATGGATATAGCTGCTTAAATATTATAACTCTAAAATTCCCTAACTCTGAAATTTTGAAAGACATATAATTAAAATATACATTGTTGTCTAGGAAGAAACATGTATTTCTCATATCAAGTAAGCATTCTTTTAGTTATTGAGCTGTTTAAAATTTGTTTATATTATTTTTACATACAAGAATCATCAGCAAACTGATAGTTGTATTTAGAATCATCAGTGAGAAAAATGATAGTTGTGTTTAGAGAGAATTGCATAAAATCGTTTTTTATAAAAATAAAGATGAAATACAATGATAATAAATCATGTAGTCATATCAGAGTGGGTGACCAATAAAATGGATGAGAGACAAAAAGGAAGGGGCCAAAACGTATAGACTAGAAAGGTGATAATAGACTAGAACCTAACACAGAAAAATATGATAGAAGCCACACCACAAATGCTAGCATGGGCTAAATTTCCAGTGGAAAAAGTGATATATAGTATAGAAAAAAGAATAGGAGAAATTTGCTTAGTGCATAACTCCATGACTTAAATAACTGACTAGAAAATCTTTTAATAAATGAAATTTGTAGACAACAAAATTCACTTTAAAGTATTCATAACAAAATGCAAGATTTTAAATTTTGAATCAGAAGAACATATGCATACTTACATTATCCAATGATCCATACAAATTCTTGTTTTGTAACATTTTAAAAAGCCTTACTATGTATTATTTTATAATTTTAGAGTGAATTTCAAACCAATACTTTAAGTTTTTAAAGTAGTAAATTATTTGGGCATTCTGAGTATAAAAATTAGACTACAATGCAAAGATACATGCACTCACCATCATGATTAGGATTTCCTAGTGTCCATGGCTCATCTGAGTCAAAATGAGTATCTCCTCCAATTCCTGGTCCAGGGAAATAGGCATGTGCCAAAAATCCTCCCTCTCCATCAAAGGGAGAACTGTCTCCGTGAAATCCAGAGGCAAAGATGATGGTTATATCCACATCGCGTTTGCCATTTTCTAATTCACTGTAGGGAACTTCTTCAAATGTCAGAGGAGTTACATTCTGCCACACATCAAAGGCACGGCGAATAGCTTTACGGGTCTCAGGGTCTCCTACTTTTGGAGTTACGTTCTTTATACTGAAAGTTAGAAAAATACAATAATCAATATGACTTTGGTATGTGTCATCGTAATACAGATTTTTATCTATCCAGTTCTGTACAATATTAGGGGAACCGTCACATTAAATAGAAATGAAATGCATTCATTTCCTCTTGTCTCTATAGCTATATTTCATTATATTGAGATCATCAAATTCTCAGCAGCGCAGTTTTCATGTACAAAGGATATAAATGAAGAGGATGACTGCAGAATGCTACTAGTAGAGTAACTAGGTCAGTCAGCCACTTTGCCTCCTGAACAATAGGAAGGCAGATTTGCCAAATAATCAGTTACAGCAGTTTCGTGCTGAAATAAAATTTATATTTTTTTCTGGTTATGATGACTATTTTTTTCAGTGAGCCATTTTATTTTTATTGAGAACATCTCATATCCTTTTCTATATATGACAGTATCTCGTGCTCAGTTCTGGCTGGAGTGAGAGGGAGCTCCTGCGTGTTGTAAGGTGTGGCATATACATGAATGGATACGTGGAGAACCCTGAGGAGCATATCTCAGCAAGTTTCCTGGCTGGCTTACATTCACATAAATGGTCTAAATTATAAAACCAAATGAAAACCATAGGAGCACAACACTGTCTCTGCACATATCAATTCCAATGTCTATGCTTTTCCAATCTATGAACACCAATTCAGCAGACTTAGAGCTAATTATACCTCTTCATTTGTAGAGAAAAGATCAACTCATTATACTTTCTGATGTTCTGTTGTTTCTTGTAAGTCTTCCTAGTTAAGAAATGTACTGTAGGTAGATTGCTGTTAAAAATAATGATTTAACAATTCTATGAATTTAAAGAACTCAGACATTTACTTTAATTATTGGGTTGTCAGAAGAGTCAAGACATGTTTTCCTATACAAAATGTATCATGACTTTTCTGACATCCCAATTGCTTGTCCTGATGCTAGTAATGAATTGATTAAATAATTATAAATATTCTCAATTCATTTCATACTAATTAAATATTTATCTCACCTAGATATTTTTCTGTTTTTCATACCAGAACATAAATGAAAATAATAATGGATCATTAGAAAAGTCACGATGCAATTTTTTGTATAGGAAAATATGTATTGAATTTTCTGACAACCTGGTACATGTATAGTTTTCAAAGTTTATTCATTTCCTCTAGTAATGACAGAAAGAGAGGAAGAGAGCCATAACATCTCCAAGAGAGGGTCTTGATACTGTGATCCTCTGCCAGCCTCAGTCATCTGCAGCCCATGTTCACGTGCATTATCTGGCATCCTCAGGAAGGCCTCTCGACACGAACGCAGAACCTTCTCATGTGGGTCAGGCGCACAGAGTATCACATTTTACTGCTGTTCTACTGTCTAGCTCCTAATACGGATAGTTTCATATTTTGGGACTATAAACTTTTTGTATGTACATGAAAAGCAATGGATAAATTCCATGAATCATAAACAAGTTTTAGATCCGTTCAAGTGTCATATATAGAGAGAGACATATTTATACACACGTATACTTATATTTTATATTTAATAAAATATATATCTTATATATACATTTTAGAGATTTTTGCCTTAGGGTGTGTGCACTCACTAGAAAAAGAGAGAGACAGATAGAGTGAGTGAGAGAGAAAGTGAGAAATCACCTCCCAGGCTCGATGGCTATGTTACCATCCCTTCTCCTCCATTATATTCCCGGGATCTTGGGCATGGACACACTTGCCTGGCATGAGTTTTAAGCCACTGGGTCTGGGACTCAAACTGCAGTCAGTCACATGGGAGTCCAATGATATAACCACTATGCCATCTGCTGGCCCCAAGGAAATGTTTTAATATAAAAAGAGGATATAATGTTCAGGTGAATCACAATGCAATCATAAATGAGAATTGGAAGTTAAAGGATCTATATTGATGGAGTGATAGTTAACTTAAGATTTTTTACTGTATATCACTTCATGTATAGAACATACATATTTTACCTTCATAAAGCATGTTATCAGTATGAAAAAACTTCTTTTTAGTTTATTTAGTTCATGAATGAGAGAGACAGAGTCAGAGATACAGCATCCTCTGTTTTTTTTTTTTTTTTTAATTTAGAGAGGTTTTTGCTACAGGGCGCATGTGCTCGCCAGACAGACAGAAAGTGAGAAATCACCCCCCAGGGAGGATGGCCATGCTGCAATCCCTTCTCCTCCATTCTCCTCTTGGGATCTTGGGCATGCATGCACACGCGCCCAGCGTGAGTTTAAGCCACCGGGTCTGGGATACAAACCACGGCCGACTAAATGGGAGTCCAGCAACATAGCCATTATGCTAACTGCTGGTCCTGAGATACAGCATCCTCTACAGTGTCTCCATGCTGTGATTCACTCCCTTGGCCTCAGCCAGCCTGGATCATTGGCACACATGTGCCTGTCATTCTCAAGGTGGTCTGTGGATGTAAACTGGCAGTTCCCATGAATGTCAACACACAAGTGCTTTGTGTTACTGCTGTGCCACTGTCTAGTCTCAGAAAACCTTTATTTTTTTTTAAACAAAGCAAAACATGATTATTTATTTAGGGACCAGCAGATGGCGTAATGTTTATACCCCTGGACTCTCATGTAGTCAACTGTGTTTTGAGTCCTGGACTTGGTGGCTTAACACTCATGCAATGCATATGTGCATGTATGCCTAAAATCCCAAGGAGAACGGAGAAAAAGGGACTGCAATGTGGCCATTCCCCCTGGAGTGATTTCTCGCTTTCTGTACCTCTGTCTCTCTCTGTCTCTCCAACGAAAGCATGTGCCCTATAGCAAAAATCTATCTCAAAAAAGAATTATTTATTAAATTTTATTTATTTATTATTATTATTATTTAATGTGCTATAGGCTCACTGGAGAAAAACTGAGAAAGAGAGAGGGAAAATGAGACATCAATCTGTCATATCTGGGACTCGAACCACCCTCAGTCAGATGGAAATGCAGTGCCTTAAATACCATGCCACCTGCTGATCCCCCCAGGAAAACTTTTAAGGTGTAATTTTCAGTGGGAAAAAAAATGTGCAAATTACATTTTTAAACCAATTGTAATTATTTCAAGATAATTACAAATGCTAGGCAGGAATAATGTTAAACTAATGGTACAAATTGAACCTTTACTGTAAGCCAGGAAAACACTTCACAATATCTTACTTAAACCCCTGGATAAGCCAATGAGGTGACTATTTATACCTACTTGCCTTACAAACAAGAAATTGAGATTTACAGAAATTTAGAGAAAAGCTTTTCAGCTGGATTTTCAACAAAACATTTTGAAAATCTATTGTTTTAAATTATGTCCTAGATAACACATCTAAATGAGGTTTTCACTATTTGTTAGTAAATATTCTATAATCTATCTATATTTACTCTGATGGTAAATATTATTCACCATTATATTAAGAAAATAAGAGTAAACCAAGTGGAAATGGATTGAGGGTGAATGTGTTCTAGGAAGAAGAAATGACAAGAGAAACCCCTTGCCAAGAGATATTCTTGGCAAGTTTAAAGACCATCAGGGAGTCAGTATAATTTAGACAAAAAAGAGAGGGCAAGTGTTAAGATACAAGGTCAGAAAGTTAGAAGGAGATCAAGTAAGACAGGCCTTGAAGGTCACTGGAGAGAGCTGGGCCTTTGCTTTGAGCAACAAGGGGAAAACGGGAACATCGTGAGCAGAGACATTTGACTTAAATGACTTGAGCCATTAAGGGGAAAATATATTGAGGAACTAGAGATCTGTTAGGAAATTAGGTAAAAAGCTAAGTGAGAGATGACAGTGCTTTAGATCTGTGAAGATAAGAAGTGGTTATACATCAGACAAATTTTGAAGATATACCCATCAAAATGTACTGATGGATTAGATAGGAGCTGTGAAAGAAAAGGATGAGTCAAGAATGACATCACACTTTTTAACTTGGGGCAAAGTTGGATAGAGAGGCCTGCAGGCGGTGTTCTGGTTAAGCTGCTGGACTCCCACATGATCAGCTACAGCTCTAGTCTCAGATCTGGTGCCTCGTTATCTCACTTTTCCTCTTTTTCTGTCTCTCTCTAGTGAGAGTGTACATGCCCAAGAGCAAATTAAAATATAATAATAAAAAATAAAATTAAAGAAATAATTAATTTTTAAAAAGTTGAATAGAGCAAATCCTTCATGCCTCCTCAGGGAGAAAGCTACACAGGTTATGGTTGTTTCAGTTTGTTTGTTTTAACTATACCTCCTACTCAGCCAGGGCTCTGAACTGGTTTTTGAGGAAGAGTAAATGCCTACCTTAGGACATCAAAGGTCTTTACCTAGATTGTTAGTCTTGAAATTTCCTGTCTGATAACTGAAGAAGCAGGCGAAGTCATGTTTTAACTCTGAATATTGTTGAAGTTAATTTTCTAGTGTTTTTTTTTTTTCTTTCCACTCTATGGAATTTTAGAAATCTTATTAGTAGGCTGACAGTCATATGTTATTTGAGTGAACTTACTACACAGTGGGTACTATTCTAGGTTCTAGAACTGAACAGGTAGCCAAGACTCTGCTCTCTAATGCTTATATATTCTACTGACAAGAGATAAACAATGAACAGAACAGAAAAGAGACAATTCCAAGTGGTGATAAATGAAGAGACGAGGTGAGAGCAAGATATAATAAATGGAACTTCAATGACAGAGGAAATGAGACATGTTTAGCACGTTTTCTGGTGAGAAGGAACAATGAGCCGAACATGCAAACTTAGATCAAAGATTGGGGCTGTTGGGGCTAGCAGGTGGCATGGTGGTTAAGGCACAGAATTCTCACATGGGTAACTGCAGTTCAAGTCCCAGACCTGGCAGCTTGAAACTTATGGCAGGTGCATGTGTGAGTGTGCCCCCAAAATCCCAAGAGGAGAATGGAAGGGAAGGAATTGCAGCATGGCCATCTCTCCTGGGGGGGTGACTTTTCACTTTTCTCTCTCTGTTTCTCTGACAAGTGCATGCACCTTATAGCAAAAATTTCTCTTAAAAATAAATAAAAAAGAATGAGACTATTTGATGAGTTGATTCAAGACAATGATAGGAGAAGAGA